GCTAGTTAATATTTCTTTGAATTGAATGCGCTAGAAAATTATGAATTGAATGCGCTAGTTAATTTTTATTCATTTGGATCTGAATTGAATGCACTAGAAAATTATGAATTGAATGCGCTAATTTTTAGTGTGTGGACTTTTTGTAAGGAGTTACACTTTGATCTTTATTTTTTTGAATTGCATAGTTAATATTTCTTTATCTCTTTGTTGATTCTGTAATTTATTTATGTGTGATTGTAATATAGGATAACTTTGGTTGATTCTCCAAAGCTTTACTTTTGAAGTGGAAGCAAAAATTGGATCATGATATTGAAATATTGAGAGCACAAATAATTGTGGGTTTGTAGTAATTTGGCAAGTCTCAATGAAAGGTAACTTTCTATATTTATTTATTTGTTATAACTATTTTAATAGCAACATACAGTGTAATTGATATTTATTTTTGGATTTTTAGGTTGTAATTGTTTCACTAACATAATGAGTATTATTGATTTAAGTATAAATTATGATTTGTCAGGAATACAATCTTATTTCAAACGTCTAAAACCCACAAATACAGAACCCATATCTCAAAGTGAACAAGTTTCAAATAGTATTTCAGTTCCAATTGTCCAAGAATCCTATCAACCTCAGAGACAAAATGTTTCAATTGTGGAAAATTCTCCTCTAGATCAAAGTTAAAATGTACCACCACAAGCATCTCAATTTCAAAGTTTTCAATCACCACCTCAAGCAAAATTTAATATAGAAAATCTTGAAGCGGATCCGGGAAAAAGACCTTCAATTTATTCAATGACACTAGATCCTATAGAGAGAGAGAGGGGATATTCTGAGAGCTTATTTGCTCAAGGGACCAAGTCAACCAATTCTTAAACCATTCCCTCAAACGAATATGTATGGGACAATGCGTAGATTCAATCCTAAGTGGTATGAAGAATTTGGTTCTTGGTTGGAGTATAGTGTATCACAAGATGCATGTTATTGCTTGTATTGTTATCTATTTGATATGGAGGTTGGAGGTAGTGGTTCGAATCATGAAGCATTTGATAGTGTGGGGTTCAAAAATTGGCAAAAGAAGGACAGAATCAAAGTTCATGTTGGAGATCATAGGAGTGTTCACAATAGATGTTATCAAGCTGGTCAAGATTTGATGAAGCAAAAACAACATATTGATATTTCCTTTTCAAATATTTCTGAGCAACAAAGAATTGATTATCGTATTCGGCTAAAATCTTCTTTAGATTGTGCAAGATACCTACTACGAAATGGTCAGCCTTTTAGGGGACATGATGAGTCTGAAAGTTCAAATCAACAAGGTTTATTTATTGAAACTCTAAAGTTCTATACTAAGCCAAATAAAGAGATGAGTCATGTGGTCTTGCAAAATTCCCCCGATAATCAAAAAATGACTTCACCAAAAATTCAGAAAGATCTTGCTCAAGCTTGTGCTGATTTGACTGTTAAAGCAATAATTATTGATCTTGGCAATGATTACTTTTCGTTGTTAGTTGATGAAGCTCGTGATGTTGCAATTAAAGAACAAATGACAGTTGTACTTCGGTATGTAAACAAAAAGGGGTCCATTGTTGAATGTTTTATTGGCATAGTTCATGTTTCAGATACTACTGCACAATCACTAAAAGCTGCGATTGATGGGTTGTTTTCTAAACTCGGTTTAAGTTTGTCTAAATGTCGCGGTCAAGGCTATGATGGTGCTAGTAATATGCGAGGTGAATTCAAAGGGCTTAAGAGTTTGATTTTGGCAGACAACAAATCTGCATTCTATATTCATTGTTTTGCTCATCAGTTACAATTGGCACTGGTGAAGGTTGCAAAACATTATAAGAAGATTCAAGAATTTTTTGACATGCTTCAAAAGATGGCTACCGTTGTGGGGGGTTCATGCAAGCGGAAAGAAATTCTTCTAATGAATCAATATGAGAAAATAGTTGAAAGAATTGCTCGCAGTGAAATACTAACTGGAAAAGGTTTGAATCAAGAGACAACCATAAAGCGACCTGGAGACACTCGTTGGGGTTCCCATTTTGGTACAGTTACAAGTGTTATCTCATTATTTTCTCCAATAATTTCCTTGATGAAAATTATTGAAGACGAGCCTAAGAATGATGCTGCAAGAACTGATGCAGGTTGCATTTTGTATGCCATGGAGGATTTTGAGTTTGCATTCTTGTTGCATCTTATGAAACTTATCTTGGGGATTTCTTATGAGTTGTCACAAGCACTACAAAGAAAAGATCAAGACCTTTTAAATGCAATTAGTTTAGTAAAAGTAGTCAAGTCTCGCTTACAAGAGGTGAGAGATAATGGTTTTGATGAATTGCTTCAAGAAACGAACATATTTGCCAATAAATATGATATTGACATTCCAAATATGGAAGATGTTTATTGCCCTAAAGGAAGATCAAGATGGAGATTGGAATCATTCACATTCTTGCACTACTTTAAGGTGGAGTTATTTAATAGAGTGATAGATACCAAGGTTCAAGAGTTGGGTGATCGATTCGATAATGTCAATACCAAGTTGCTTGAGTGTTTGAGTTGTCTTGATCCTCGTGATTCATTTGCTTCTTTTAACAAAGAAAAGTTGATTGAGTTTGCTAGATTTTATCCTTTGGAGTTTGATGAGCTTGCAGATATTCCTTTTCTTTCTTCAAGCCTGAGTAATTTTATTGTTGATGTAAAAGCTGATTCTGATTTTGTCAATTTGAAAAGAATTTCTGAACTGGCTTTAAAGATGGTTGAGAAGAGAAAGGATATTGTTTATCCATTGGTCTATTTGTTGATAAATTGGCACTCCTTCTACCAGTAGCAACTGCTAGTGTTGAGCGAGTTTTTTTTGCAATGACTGTTGTTAAGGATAAGTTGCGCAATCGGATAAATGATGATTGGTTTAACGCATGCATGCTAACTTATGTTGAACGTGATATATTTGATAAGATTGAAGATGAAAATATAATGCAATATTTTCAAGCAATGAAGAATCGAAGAATGCTTTTGTGATCGTTCTATTGTAATAGCTTAGTTAACTCTTGATTATTATTTTTATGTTAAGTTGATGTTTTCTTTTCTTTTCTTGTTTATATTTTTTTGTTTTTTAATGCTTTTAAAAATTCAATTAGATGGTTTGGCCACTTTGGAACTTTTTTGCAGTTTCCTCCATCTTAGTGTACCAGCTTTTCATAGAGGTTAGTCACTGTTAATTTTGCAATTCAGATGTTAAATATCTTTTTATATTGAGATTAAATGTCAGTAATTCTTATGGCAGAATATTGATTTTCAGGTAGTAACTCAAGAGATATGATGGCTTGATTTTCTAGGTTTGCACACTTAAATCGCTCAACTCAACAATCATTGAACATAGCTTCACTGGTAATATTTAATTTATACATCATTTTTTACTAGTTTATATTTCTATATGCCTAGAATTGCTATTCACCCAATCTGTTTTTTCCTGCATTGATAAATCAACTCCTTTATGTGAAATTTATATATAAAAAAAAAATTTGGGGGCGCTGCCCCCGAACCCCCACCATTAAATTTGCGGACATGAACTATTATTTCTAGGTCCGCCACTGCGCCAAGATGTGGGTCAAAACGGGTTAGAGTCGAAGCGGGTTAACTCGCGGGTTACCTTTTTAAAAAAAATTATAAAAAATATATATTATCTAATATTAGTAACCATTCATTTTTTCATAACCCTAAGACTTCTCCAGCCGATGCATCTGCAGTCCGCTCCGCCTCCTTGTTCTGATTTCTTTCTCAATCTCTTACACAACTTTGTAAGTGTACTGTAACAACTTCTCCTAGTTTTCTATTATCTGGTATCTACATGGTGATTTGACGGGCTAACCCGTCAACCCACCTCAAAACGGGTTGGGTTGATATTTTCAACCCACTATCTAATGACGGGTTTGCCCGTCCTGCCCCGTTTTTGGCGGGACGGGACGGGTCGACCCATTTTGCCATCTCTGATGTCAAATGATCCTACCTCAATATATATTATTTAATTCATAATTCATAAAGTCCATAAACCTTAGCTTTTCACATATAAATATTGATAATTCATATTATTTTAGTCTATAAAAACAAGATAAACTAAAGGTTTATCATATAGTAATTTTGACTAAAATAGTAAAATGTCACAATTATTTGTATTTTAAAAGGACAAATAATTTTTCCAAATAAAAATATATTTATTCTTCAATAATTTAAAATACATTATAATCATAATTTATTAAGATTTAAAAATAAATACACACTTACGCTTACTTATTTTTTTAAAAAATTACTTTAGAGATACTTCAAAGATACCCTTTTAATATTATAATAACAATAATATATATATATATATATATATAATAATGAGAAAAATATTTCTCCTTTTACCGCATAATTTTTTTTTCTATTACACTCACATAAAAATAAACGAGTCTCATTAATTTTTTATCACATTTCTCTTTATTGTGAGACTTATTTACTTTTATATGAGTGGTAAAAAAAAACTTGTGCAGTAAAAATAGAATTATTAAGTGCAATAATATATATATATATATATATATATATATATATATATATATATATATATATAAATTCAAGTATAATTTATGAATTTAATTTATTTGCTTAAATTTTGGACAATTATATTACATATTTTAAATCTAATTTTTTTAATTAATTATGTACTTTTGAAATAATGTAATAATTTATATTTGTATAATATATATGAATTTAAAAGATGAAATTAATGTTTGTCCTTTTAAAAAACATAAAATTGTATTATTTTAGTTAAAATTATAATTTTTTATAGTAAAAGAAATAAAAATTATGGTAAGAAAAATTAAAATATTTTTTTCTTAATTTAAATATTATATAAAAATAATAATTGTAATATAAAATAACTGCCATTTAAAAAAATATTATAATTGCCGGTACAAATAATAGCAATAATGTGAAGGGTGTCATGTGAGGCTGGAAGAGTGAGAGGCGAGGAATGTTACTAAAAAAAGAGAGAGTGAGAAGTGAGAAGAAAACAAGAGAGGGTTAAGTGATCTGGAATTGCAAAATGCAGAGAGTGATAATACCCAACAAGCACGGTCAGAAACTGGTCGGCATATTGCACGAATGTGGAACCACAGACATTGTAATCTTGTGTCATGGTTTTCGATGCTCAAAAGTTTGTTTCTTTCTTATCTCAACCTTTTTTTTTATTGTTTTTCTTTTTCTTATTCCTATTTTGATTATTATTATTTTAATTTTAGGATACCAATCTGTTATTGAACCTTGCTGTTGCATTGGAAAATGCAAAAATTAGTTCTTTCCGCTTTGACTTTTCTGGAAATGGGTAAGTTTATATCATCACTTCTAAAGATATTGAGTATGCATTCGTTTTTTTAAGTGGTTTTACTTTTTACTGTAAATGTTTGTGAATTTGTATTAGATTTGTACCGTTAAATAATGAGCTAAATTCTGAGAAATAGAGAACAATAGACCGAACCCCCCCTCTGTCTTCGTTGTTCTTTTGGAATGATGTACATTCATAGGGTTCTTCTGATTTCAAGGAACGTATGATTGTGTGTACAAAAAACATGTGTTTTTATTTTTTTAGTATTTTAAATTTCTTAATTTTCATTAATTGTTCAGATGCATTAATTAATGTGTTACTAAATACTAACATTTTCTCTGTGGGAAAAATACTGATACCTTGTTATGTTTCTGGCCCTCTAATGTAATTGCTTTGGATGTTGATGTTATACTTGTTTACCATAACAATGTTGCAATTACTCTTGCAGTACCGGTTGTTATAATATTAGGATCATTGTTATTGTTTTAGGAGTCTTTTCATGCTAGGAGTGTTAGTATTAGTGATCCTCAGTGATTCAATTTCCCTATAATTTGAACATGGTATTAATTGTCACTCCTTTGCTTGGTTTGGTGTAAGCTGGGTGATAGTTTCTCTATTTGCGCTGGGTTATATGTTCTAAAATTCCTGTTATCTAGTCTTGATCATTACCCTTGCTTCACTCTTTGTTTTGTCTTAACTTTAGCTCTTGGGTTTTTCCTTCTAGGGAAAGTGAAGGTTCGTTTCAGTATGGTAACTATTGGACAGAGGTTAATGATTTACATGCTGTAGCCCAACATTTCCGTGAATCAAATCGTGTAATCAGTGCAATTGTTGGGCATAGTAAAGGTATGTTGACTTTGTTCTTCTTATCTATATGTATTTCTAACGGCAAGAAAAGGTAAAGAAAGATGGATCCATATATCATTTTGGATATATGATTATATATGCTGATTTATACAATCATTCGTTGATCATGTTCCCTTAGATACCGGAAATATGATTAGATTTGTCCTTGTCAAAATCATTTCATATCAACTGTTTGAATATCTAGAGGATATCACATAATATCATAATTATATCTTAGAATAGTTTGGAGTATCTTAGATGATCTCTTAGGAATGGTTTCTATATTTCTTTATATTTTATAGTTTGTTTCCTTATTTAATTAGGATTAGGAGTCTTTTGTTAGTATAAATAAAGCTTAATGTATTGTCTTTTGTATCACATCCTTCACACCAATATCAGTATAATTTTATTATTCTGAGTACTCCTTTCCTCTCTCTTCCTCTTTCCCTACCTAAATCCTTATAATTTCAACATCAACCATGCTTTGCATGCTAAGATTAACCTTGATTGATGCAACATGAAGAGAGTAGTGTAACTTTTGACATAAAACCAGGATCAGCTTTCATTTAATTGATATATAATCCTCTAGCTGAAACTTGTAGCTTGAGATTAGTCAATTTGTGGGAATAGAAAGAAACTTTTGCTTATAATTCCGAGCTACTTGGCAAAACTGTGCTAAAAATGAGCTTTGTAAATATCTTTCGTTTTAATGTTGTTGTTAACTAGTATTATATGAGGATAGGTATTCTATAGATCTCTTATATTTTTTGAACCGGGTATTTGATAGGAACAGATAAGGACTTAGGTTGATGAAAATCCTATTCTATTTGGGTGGTCATTACATTTCATTTATAGTTGGTGAAACCCAACTTATTAGTGTAGCTTCTGACCAATGTATCTTCTTGAAGTCCCCTCCCCCCCCCCAAAAAGGTTTGGATGCATGATTGAACTATTACTAATTGTTTCTGTATCCTGACGCAGGAGGTGACGTAGTGCTTCTGTATGCTTCAAAATATCATGACATTAAAACAGTTGTCAACCTCTCCGGACGTTATGATTTGAAGGCAGGAATTGAAGATCGCCTTGGAAAAGATTATTTGGAAAGAATTAGAAAGGATAGTTTCATTGATGTGAAGAAGAGGTCAGGTAACCTATCATTTACTCAAGACTTGTTTCTCAATGCTTCTAGTGCAGTACATGTGAGAGGACCATTTTCAGTGTCTACTGATAATTTGTTTTGTACAATGAATTTTTAGTTTAAATCAACTTGTTAAGAAGCAATTCTACATAAAGTTAAAAGCTGTTGGTTTTATATCTTCAACATACCCTCTCACTCAAGTCTTTTGGATTTGAAGTGCGTGCAATGCACCTGCCCATTTTAGCTTGTACTAGGTTTTAATTTAATTATAAAGAACAAGGGTGGTGATCGAAATCTTGATCTCATGGTTATAGAAGCTTTGATATGCCATGTTAAAAACCAACCCTCCTAAAAGTTTAACCGGTTTGGTTAAGCTGTAAAGGTCAACAAATAGTTTTATATCTCTGGCAGTACTTGATGAAATTAGCAAGTCCAGAACCATACCTTGTTTTGCTTGCCCCTGTGAACTTGTACTAAAATTTGGAATTGGGGATTACTTTATCACAAGCACGAAGTTCTAGCTGAAATGCTCTTATTTCAAATCATTCTTTTAAATGTATTGTAAGTAATAACAAAACAAACCCCCGAAGATGAAATGGGAAAAAAATGAAAAATCTAGGCATAATCATTAATGATCTTGTTCAATGCTTGCAAATTGACTTAAGTTTTGAACTTGAGATATATTTCAACAGGCATGATGTCCATGATGGATAATGGTGTACATGACATTGTATTCTTTGTTTCTGTCTCTGTCACGCAAAGGTACTCAGTTTTGAGGACACCTACTGTTGCAGGAAGTTTTGATTTTCGTGTAACTGAGGAAAGTCTGATGGATCGCTTGGGTACAAATATGCATGAAGCGTGCCTTCAGATTGACAAAGAATGCAGGTGGGTGGAAAAGTTTTCTGGTCTCTTCTGCTACAGCCTTTTGCCTCTTGCTGCATTTCTTTGTTAATCACACGTGTGTATTGATGAGTTTCACAATAAATACTTCTAAAGCAGGAGCTATAAAAAGCAGGATCTCTCTATATATAAGGGACCAATAAATCTAAAATTTTCTTTCATTGCTATTAAGTCCAATTTTTGAAGAAACTTTCTCTAGAACATTTTGATATTCTTTTAAAGAAGTTAATATTTATTTAGTAATCCTTAACAAAATTTGATTTTAATACCTACCGGTAGTGTTTTCAAACTAATCATAGAAAATAAACAGATGAAACAATTCTTAAGATTTTCAAGTTTCTTATTGAGAGAATTAAAAATTAATGAAATCCCATTTTTTTTTATCTTTGCTTTCCTGTTTGACTTCTATATGTAGCTGTAATTTATATGTTGTATATTGTGGAAACAGATAAAATGAGAGGAGGAAATTTGCAAGACTAACAATATATTTATATTTTATGCTAAAATGTTTTGTTTTTGTTTAGATTTTGATTTACTCACTAATCAAGTGGGGAAACCATTTTTGTATGCAAATTTTTGTATGGAATTAAATTTTAGGAACACATGATTTTCTGTGCAATATGATAGAGTAGTGATTTGGTGAGGAGGAGCAGGGTATTTAGTGCTACAAATGAGAGATGGTGAGGAAGGTTTGAAGGTGGTAATGCAAGCAACAATTCTTGATGAAGCTATGAAATTACTCTGATGCATAGATGTGTTAATGTCAAATCACATATTACAGGGTTTTTACAATTCATGGTTCTTCCGACCAAATTATCCCTGTTGAAGATGCATTAGAGTTTGCCAAGATCATACCAAACCACAAGTTACATATCATTGAAGGAGCTGATCATGCATTTAATAATCATCAAGATGAGTTATCCTCAGTTGTTGTGAACTTCATAAAGAAAACCTTGCACCAGAACAAGGGTACTGCTAGCTAGGTATTTGTTCTTGCTAGCATATGAACTCTTCGTTTTTGTATAACATATGGTTTTATTTTTATTTTTGGTACCATTAACATATGGTTTTCTAATGATGTATTTGTGATACATCTTGCAGTTTCGAGCCAATTGGATATGGAGTTTATCAAGTTTTCACTCTACAGGGTCCCTAACTGAATCTGCCTAACATGTTCCACATGTTTGAGCCCTTCTACATGGTGCTTATTAAATTTGAGAATCTTGCTTGATTCTGTTTAATAGGAGAAAATAAATAGTTGATATAAAGGTCCCACCGATATCTATACCACTATTATTTGTCTCTTATGTACAGACTTTAATTTAACAGTACATTTTATGTCTGATTAAGTTACGCAGTTGATATTCGAAAAGGGAAAATCAGATTGAACTTCTAGGTTCGATAAAATCATTTACTTCCTCTAGTTTTAGAAATTTTACTTACTCCATGTGTCATTTTACTTTTACATGTGCAAATAGTCATATATATTTTAAAAGAGAATTCAATACAACTCTATTAAACCATAGAGGAGGTCAATAAAATTATTTTTGACATTAAGTAGAATTAATTGAGAGAAGTGAAGTTTTTTGTTACGTAGAATTGATGCAAGGTGTGAGATCATTGAAGTTTTTTCTATATCATTTGAATAATTACATCAATTCTTTCAAATTCCCTCTTAAAATAATATCCTCAAGCACGAATTAATTTTTTAAAATCATTTTTTAAATTTAGTTCTTTCAAAATCAACACTACCTTAATGAATGGAGAACTGTTATTGGGCCACCGAGTGAAATCTGGTCTACCCTGAAAATCTACAATAACAGTGCTTTTTAGAGAAAGTGAGAGATTTTATTAATTTAAATTTTATATTAAAAATATAAGTTTTAACTAAGACCATCAAATATTTTTTCCATAAACTTATTACTCTTATAATTATGTGGTGTGTATCATTCAGCAAATAAATGATGAAAATCAACAAGTATATTGTGGATGTATGTTAGCTGATTAATTAAGTTGAAGTTATCTAAAAATGTATCTTTGATAAGCCTAGGATAGGTCCAATGGTGAGGGATTTGAGCAAGTTATATTAAATTATGTGTTCAATTCTTACTTGTATCCAAAATATAATGTATCTTTGACGTTTTTTCAATTAGTTATATTAACATTGTAACTATTTCCTTATTAATATTTTAACTACAAAAATTAAAATTAAAATTTTGACTATCCATAGAACTTTTATTATTTGAAAAAAAAAACTCATTATGAATTTTCAAATAGAAACTTGCTTATTTTCAATTCTTTTTTTTTCATGATAAGAAATTTTTATAAATGATGAAAATAATTAAAGGAGAACATGACTTATTATTTATGTATTTGTATTTTAAAAAGATCTAAATAACTGAATCAATGGTTTAACTTTAGACTTTTTCTGCTTGTTTTTTTTTTATACTGGTGACCTGGTAGGAATTGAATTCGTCATCACCCCCAAGTCCCAAAGGTTTAGGCTAACGCCAATTGAAGAATGAGTTTAATGATTTCTTATTTTTTAAAATTTTGGATACAGTTTAATGAAAATTTTAAACTTTGGACTGTATTCTCAACTATTTTATTTTTTCAATTCGACCATAGTATCGTTTTATTTATTTATTTATTTATTTATTTAACTGAAAGTAACTTCGGAAGCACAGACACGTTATTTGGAGTAAAAATATGTTGGATACCGAAACGCTCCGGCACGCTGTTAACTTTTTGGTACGCGTGGCCAACGCTCCGACATGCGGTCAATGTTTTCCAACACTTTTTCTTTTAAATTCAATTTTATTTTATTTTATCTTTTTAACTAAAAATAAAAAATTAATTTATAAATCAAATATTTTCTATTATGAAATATGACATGAAAGATTTTTTTTGCTTTATATTTATGTTAAGATATTTGAGTATTTGATTGATTTTATGACTTATTATAAGCTGTTATATGTATTAAATGTAAACTATATTATATATATTAAAAATATTATTTGTCTATCAAAAAAAAATTATTTAATATCAAAATATGTCTTAACGTGTCAAAATCTATTATTTTTTAGAATTAATGTGTCGATATGTCGTGTTGTGTTCCGTATCCCGTGTCAGTATTGATGCAACATAAAAAATAACTTCACAAGTTTTTAGTTAATGGAGAATACTACTCTCATTTACATGAGAGCAGTTCTCTCATGCTATAGAGAGAAGCTAGATAGGGTACATCATTATAGGTTAAAAAAAAAAAAAGGTGCAATTTTCGAAGTGAAAAAACATGAGATAGTTATCTCATGTAAAATAAGAGTAATATTTCCCTTAATTAATAGTTACAAAATAGTAGGGTTCAATTGTAGAACCACTTTTTATCTTAAATTTTCTTTTACTACCCCTCTCTTAAGCCCCATTGAGAGGCTAGCTCTTACAAAAAAAACATATAGGCATCATGCCCTAATTATATAAACAATAGTTTTATTTATTTCATAAATAAACATGAATTGATGCATGCATAATTAATGAATTTTCTTATCAACAAACAGTATTCATATGAAATGAGCGGCGTATAGAAGACTACTTCTGAGAATAAGATTAAAGATAGATGATTCTTTTATTTAAAAAATAAATAAATCCTGTGCAACATTTTCTAGTTACACCATTTATTTATATTAACGATCTTACATAAAATGCTTATGAATCTCTTACGAAAAAAAATAAGATGTAGATAAACTAAAAATATATAGATAAATATGTATAAATTTCAGGATAAATATTAAGTCAAATTAGAAAATGTTTTACAAATTAGATATTAAGTGGTAGGAGAAACCATTATCAATGGATTAAGTGACAAATGATTTCAAGTGGTCTCATATACCACAACACAACCCAAAATTTTATGACATTAGATGTGTCAGTCCTTCCATTTTTATGGTGTTCACTCAATTTATTTAAACTTCATTTACTCACACTTAAATTCTCATAATGTGATGACAAGTATAATTGACCAACAGAAAATAGCTCAAACTCTTTATTAGTTCTGCCCTTTGAGTGTTGTTTTCATAGACAATAACATATGGTGGCCACAGAGCATCCAATTATTAGGTTAATTAGCTTGTAGCTGTTTGGCAATTGATAAAAGATTGGATTTGATCCCAAAAGCAAAAGGAATCCTTCTGATGTAATTGATCAAACCCAAAGAACAAATTTTAACTTATTTGAAAGCTCAAATTTCAAACTGTAAGAAAATAAGTAATAATTTTTCATACTTTTCAATTAAACTAAGATTAAGATGTTAGGTACGGATGTGAAAGAGGAAAACAATAGGGTAACAAAGAGATATCGATCGCGGTAAACTATAGGATTTGCGGAAAAGCAACAAAGAAGCTACGATTTGGTTATGATTAGATGCTATCATAATTTGATCAAGTGTTGTTCTTTTTCAATCCCTTTTCAACAGTGACATAATTCACAGTGTGTGAATGTTGGAATCCTGTCCTAGATTTTCCACAACAATTAGACATCGATCCATAAATAAAGCAATTCCATTCTGTACGTAGGAAGCAAAAAAATAAATAAAAAAAGTCAATAAAATGATGATGCTGCTAACTTTTAATGTCTCCTTGTTGCCTGTAGGCTGGAATTAAGTGTTACATAGCCTGTTTTGTATGTAATTATATACTCCTTCAATTAAATAAGATTACTTTGGTCCCTATGGAGGCCGCAAAGAAGTATGTTTATATAAAAGTGAAAAAGAAAAGTTTCACTTTATGGGGCGAAGATCAGAGTGACTTTATTATGGAATATTGCCTAGTTAATTAACAATATAGGATAATAGGATATGAAATCCTCTTATTGATATATAACAAGAACGACAACTCAATGAGGTTTAGTTTAATGTAAATGAAAATTTTGATTGTAGAAGAACTTGTTGCTTTATACTTTTATGACAACAAAAGCACTCGTGGGTCTATGTCAAACCTCAAAAGCAAAAAATTATTCCTATTCCAACACTACGCATATTTTATGTTTCTTATTATTTGCTAAATATTCCAACACATTAATGATATTCGAATTTGAGATATATATATATCATCAACTAACTCTCCAAAAGTTAGGTGAATTTTCATAAATAATTTGATTATATTTCTTAACACACCTATTACGTGAGAATTAGGGGTGCAAATGTTCAAACAGCCTATCTGGGACCTACGGCTCAGCTTGCATTAGGTTAGACTCGACCTATTATCTATAGTTAAATAGAATATGCTCAGACTTTTAAAAAAATTATTTAGAAAAAAGGTCATAGACTTTTTTTTACATGTCAGACCCATAAGTCTATGGGTCGGTTTATATCATATTATTTATTTTAAATAAAATAATTATTTTAATGATTTTGAATAATAAAATAATACTATTTTAATCATATTTTTAATTATTGAATGCCTAATATGCTTAAACAGATTTAGGTCTAGGTCAAGACTTTTATTTTTTAAATATAGGTCAGACCAGACCTATAATTTGGGTCTACACAAAGTTAACAAACCAAGAAAGACCTAAAATATTTTACACAAACCTGATCTATTTAAGGCAAAGTTCAGGCCAACTCAGCTCATTTACAACCCTAGTGAGAACCCTTTGGACTTTGAAGTGTAGATAATACACAAACTCATTTTATTTATTTATTTATTATTAAAAGAATTGTGCGATAACTATAAGTATTGAACTTTAAATCATTTGATCATAAGCTCTAAATACCATGTCATGAACCAAAACTCTGTAAAAAGTTAAATCGTAGGGTGAAAACACATTTTTAGAGATATAATACATGAAACCATCATCCCATTTTCTAATAAAAATAAATAAAATAAGTTAAAATCAGCACAAGATAAACCAAAAACAAAAATTGGATTTCTGCATTATTCGTTGGATTCAACTTGGCACATAAGGGAAGAGAAGTGAAAAGTTAATCATTTAGCCAAATTACTTTGGTTGTCATATTACTTTTTTTTTTAAGAGATATTCCAATTGGTTCATCGCTTCTCGACTAGTTTTATTTGGGACGGATCTCGGGATCAAGGTTTTAAATCTCTCCCAAAGACAATATTGGGGAGGATCGTTTGTCATATTACTTCTATTTACATAACTATTATATATCTTTACATAAATTTAATTTAAGCAGTTCATTCAGCGACCTGATACCCCAATCGAATCGATGATTGATTTAGGTTTAATAACATTATACTAATTATAGCAAACATATTATAAGCCGCAATGAATAATACATTGGAGAATAAATCGATTAGAACACACTACAAAGAGCAATGAATCCCGAAATATACAATTATCGGGCTTAGAATTCGGGGCATTTCATATCTCCCAAACTTTAAGAGTGGGTACACCTGACTAAGAGATACAAAGCCAGTTGCATATGAAATGAACAATCAAGGTTAGGGTATCTTAACACGAGCGCATTTTTAGTAGCACGGTGATATTAAAACGTGCAGTTTTTGTAATTTACACTATGTACTCCCGGGAGTACATAGTGTAAATTAAAAAAAAATGCTTTTTTTTTCACTCTAATACAAAAAGTAGTTGAAGTGGCATCTTCTTATTAACTAGTCGCACCTACCACCGTGGTATTGCAGGCCAAGGTTAGGGCTAATAACAGCAAAAGTCCTCGTTGGTAATATGTGCGTTCTCTTTTTCGGTAGATTAAGTATGTCATTCTTTTTCGTTGATCTGTTCGTCTAACTAATACTAAGTGGTAGAAAAAATATTTTTCAAATGGTAGAAATATCTACCGGCCTTGAGATATCTTGAAAATTTGTTGTGTTATAATTATTGTTGTCGTTATTGTATTCCTCCCTTTTTAAAGTACAACGTTGCGCTATATTCTTTTTTTTTTTTTTTGTTATTGTTGTTGTCTAGCTCTCCCAAAGATAATATTATTTTATCTTTGCTGGAAAAAGAAGGAAAAAATTTAGAATCTGAAACTCTAAAGTAAAATACTCATTACTGCCACTTGTGTTTTCCCTTCAGTGATACTCCATAATATCACAAATTCCCCACAAAGATTGAGAGATGTAGGTTCCATTGCTTTGTAATACTTTTTTTTTTTGGGTACATGCTTTGTTATACTTAATTATTCGTGTCTAGACTCTTCATTTAAATATTAAATACCTTTCAAGGACTACAATACCATTTGTTTAATGGTTGATTCTCTTCATTAATGCTTTCTAGTATTCTCCTGTAAAGCATGCAGCGTTATCTTTTCTACATAATTACCAAGAAAGATCTTGCAATGAAGATTATAGTATATCTGAAGGCATTTGGCATTATCATATCTATCTAGCAACCTACGATGATTGATTATGGTATACAGCTAGGACTCTCAATTTAGACACAATAATGTTCCTTGTTAACCTAGGATCTCAATTATTGCTAGGGTTCCCCTATACAAAATTAGAAAGGCAAAATAAAAATTATATAACAAAGAGAATCATTAATGCACCAAACACACTCATTGCACATTAAGAATGAAGGATTAGAACATGACAACAATCCTCAATATAATCGCTTTCTCTACACTAGGTTGGAAAGTACTAATCTGTAATTAGTGATAGACAAAAAGTAATGTGACACAGAGAGAGAAAGAAAGATACAGCTAGTTGTGTGCACCTTTCACACATGATTTTGTCAACCTAACGTATCTATGCTATGTGTAACCTGATTTATATATATATATATATTATGCCAAAGTCATGCCGTTTTTAACCCCACCTTCTAACAAAAAAGTACAAAAGCTATCATCCGAAGTTCGGGTCATTGTGTACACTTTGTAACCAGCCAGCTAGCTAGCTGAGGTAATCCCACCATATATATAAAACCACTTTTCATTGGGGAAAATATTAAAAAAGCTGGTTAATTATTGTTGAAGATTCTTTGTCCAGGTGATAGAATCATTCTTGGATCAAACTGTTGTTTTCTTTCCAAGAAAGTCCTCCATTTAGGGCCAAAATGGTTTTTCCAATCTTCCTGTGTGGTGTAGTGGGGAAGATATTTCTTAACCTTAATCCCATTATCATTACAAAAATTCAAAATTTCTCTATTTTGAGCATCAAAGGCCTCCCAATTATCAAACCCACTTGAGTGCAAAAATCCAACTGTGTAGAAGACATCCTCATCTGGTATAGATACTGACATCCTATTGTCCCACCTGAAAATGAATTTCATATTAGCTTTTATTTTTACAACTTCAATGGGAAATTAGTGATTGAGTAAAACGATAAACACATAATACTAATACTAATAATAATAACACAAAGTGTGATTAATTCAGGGCTTACTTGTTTCTATTCATAGGGTAAACCAAGACAGGTCCTGTGGTGATGTTTTGTTTAAGGATGATATTCTTGAATATGCCTAAATCAAAATCCAAGATTTGAGATTTTGGTATAAACAAATTAAGCCATGGATGAGGAACATCCCACAGTCCTTGTGACTGAAGCTTCAACTCTCCACTTCGGACTCTATTCAAGAACTCAACATATGAGACATTTTTTTCATAATAGAATCCAGGGATATAGCTCAGACCTTGGAGCAAAACTTGGAGTTCCTACACAAACATGAAAATAAGAAATATTGATTACAATTTGTTAATATCTTCAATCTTTTACTTAATAGTAAAAATATGTACAGGGTTATATATTAAGGTGAGACAATAAATAAATAAGACACATCATCAAGGCAATTGAGAGATGGTACCTTGTCCACATTGTTTTCAGATTGGTCATCATAATATTTGGCCACTTCAAGGCAATAGAGGACTCTATGTTTAGTTACAAGGGAAATTATTCTGGGATGGTCGGCTAAAGGGAAGAAAGAAGATCTCCAATTATTTATGGGTCCTTGGTGTAATAGCAACATCCCTTCCAAATAATCCAATGCAGTATTTTGTTTCGTTCCATTGATTGAGATCAATAGTTCTTGGTCTTTTGTAAAAGCAGAAAAGTCATCATATAGAAGTCGGACCCATTTAACCTGCCAACAAAAATTGACACATTAGTTAATGCAATGTACTAATTAACTCATATCGTGCTAATGATAGGCAATAATGTATGCATGATAAAGTTAAATTAAACTAGAGTATTACTTCGTGCTCAACCCTTTTCTGAACTTCAAAATGATCTCGCCAACTTCATGTGTTAAAAGTCACTAGCGGAAAATATATTTATGCATAGAGCTATACTTAGAAGTTTTTTTTTTTTCAAATGGAGTTGTTAGTTGAGTTTGACAAAACGAATATAGATTCTGAGTCATTGACGAGAAAGTATAACATTATAAGTCATATGAGCCTTTCTATTGGCGCAATCGCCTAAGAGTCACAATATATTTGAAGAAACTTCGGCATGTACTCATTTTTTCAAACACATATTTTAATGCTTTCAATTTCAAGATTCCACATTAGATACCTATCACTCGTTTCACTTTCATTTGTACTATTGTCTTTCATGGATGACTAACATGCACTAACATAATGTGAAATATAAGACATATGGGTTCCTACTTCCAAGAAAAATGATAATATAGTGCTTTTTGGACAATGACATTTCGTGCTCTCGTAAAGGTTGATGGTTGTACAATGTGACATGTAGAATAGGCATTACCATGAATTGTTGGAAGAAGAAGCTACAAGACAAAGTCCTAGTCAATTTATATAAACGTACCCTCTTGGGTGCTGGCTCAAGAGCAATCCTTGCCCTTGTTATAATTCCAAATTGTCCTAAACCACCAAGAACCGCGTGAAATAACTCTGAATTCGTCTGCGAAGAACAGGTAACAAATTCTCCTTTTCCTAAACCAAACCAAAACTTGATTAAACCTATATAATAATAAACTTGAATTGACAAACACTTGGAATAATAAAATTCAACATTCTATTTATTTGTTATATATAAAAGAATTGACCAAATAAGACTTGGACCAATCATATACTCAACTTATTCTTAAAAAAAAGTTTAATCAAGAATTAGAAGATATGAATCCTATGACCGCATGAGCTGGTTTTATAGTTGAGAATTTTTAAAACATGGGACCCGGTGGAAAGCACTTGCTGACATTCACCAAAACTGTAGACAACGATTTTGATAACAACCACTAATTTGGTATTTAAACTTTAAAAAACCAAAATCACGATGAAATTTCTCACAAGAAAAAAAAAATACTATAAAGCTCCCGCTAGATGGATTGTGAATCAGACATATAGTACACAACTTATCTAGCATTAATTATTTTATATATTATTATCTCTAATATATCTTTATACAAGAATTTTTGGACATGAAGCGTAAATAATATATAGAATCATTGAGGATTGAAATCGTGATAAGTTAATCAAAGGCTCTAATGCAATATAAAAAAGTAATTCAACTCAAAATCTTAAGCAGTTAAATGAAGGCCACAATATATCTAACAATCTATCGTTAAAAAATAAAAATAAAACAAAATGTATGATATAATGGGAAGAAAATTGCATACCAGTGACTACATCCATTTCATGAACATTACTGATTTGAGGTCCAAAGTGGAATGTATGGCCACCGATACCAGCATTTGAGAGTGTCCCTCCCACAGTCAAGTAAAGATAATCGGTCCAAGAAACAGGTGCAAGTCCATGTTCAAGTGTGGTGTGTAACACATCAATCCATAGTTGCTCCCCTCCAACATCAGCATAGTAACCAACAAAAGGGTCCACAGAGACACTAATCCCAACCCCATTTCTTCTTTCTCTGAACCCCGCCATGTCCACCACAACCCCATCACGAGCCATGGCTTGTCCACGAGTGGAATGGCCTTGTCCTCTCGCAGCTATGTTAAAAGGGACAGAGCTGTTATATGAGAGCTTTATAAGCTTCACTATGTCGTATATTGAAGATGGATCAAACACTGCTTTTGGTAAATCATGTACGAGGTTGCCATAGTCCCTTGAAGCTAATTGGATAGCTTCAGGGTCGTCACGGAGCTTGTGAGATATGCTGTTAACGGTTGCAACCTCTGGTGGTAGCAGAGTTTTCCATTGCTCGGTTTTTCCCACTGTGGATATTAAACGTGTTATGGTTATTAGAAGGAGAATGAAGTATGTGGAAAAGGGGTAATTCTCAGCCATTTTGGTTTGAAGAGAATAAGAGAGAGAAAAAAAAAAAAAAAAAAAGGTTGTTGTTGTGGTAGCTTTCTTTGGTGATTGATGTGTTGTTGTGGGTGGAAGGAAGTGGAGGAGGCAGGGGTTATAAATAGAATAGAAGAGGACTTTGCATGATAAAGAGTGAACATACAGAGAGAGAGAGAGAGAAGAGAGAGAGAATCTTATGTCTTTTAGAGTTAAAGAATAAAAAAAGGGAAGGCTCAATTATAACGAGGGATAACAGATTTTATCATGGTTGTTGTGCAATTGAATTTTTAAAGTTGAATTGATCATGAAATGAATAAATATTTTGAGTTGTTATTATACTTTATACCAAAAATAAACTAAAATTTATATCTATGTTTCACATGAGAAAGAGAGAAGAAAAAAAAAATGTACGCTGTGCAAAGGGAGGAATGGCTAAATGTCAAATTCAAAGATACGACTGAACCAGACCATAGATTATATTTGGCCAGCTTCCTTCGGTAACGTCATGAATGAAGTATTAAATTTGTGTGAAGCAATTAAATAAAGCAATGAAGTATATGGCCTTCCAATTGGTACTTGTTTTGTTTGATCGTGTTTTTGTGTTCATCATCATCATGATCTCGAAGATTCCCAGCAATCAAAACCAAAAATTTGCCTTTACAGAATTAAAAATAAAATTATGGAATTGAATTGAGGCCGTCCGATTGTTATCTAATGGTCAAGATTGGTCAAGTTTAGTCAATTCATATACATTACAACGCTTCTATATATTTAATATTACCAATTGGAATTTCTTATTTAGGATTAAAGAGAGTCAAATTTGTGTAATTATCAAAGGATCTCCCAAGATTTTCTTTTGGGGACCAGAGAACTTCTCATGAATCAATCTATATTACATTCAACTTTTCAAGTTCATGGAAGGGTATTGTCAATGGGAACTGAGGGAGACATTACACCGGATTTTCTTCAGGCCAAGATTTTGTTTGTGATCCTCTATTTACAACATGTAATCAATGAAAATTAATGCTCAGGAAATTGAACTATAACCATAACCCAATAATGTGCTTGTCTCAGTACATATAAGTCATTGGAATGACTACATGACATAATTGATTTTCTCCCAGATTCAACATATTTTGAGCTAAAAAAAAATAAAGATGGTAGATTCCATGCCATTATTAAATTGGCAAGGAGGGAATTCATATCATTCATTAGTTGGCTACTGATTGAACTATATACCTAATTTCCCAATTGTTCTTGCCTAGCCTTACATGGTAACTGAATATATAAAAATCAAAAGCACCTGGCATGCATTTTATCAGAATATAGGAAGAAAATAATCGCATGCCATGCAACTAGTGAATTGGTTAGTAATAATTAAATTTGGCTCTGGCTAGCTTCTTGGGGGTTTTCTAGTTGGTGATTGAATAAATTATATATATATATATATATGGAAAGATTATATTTACAAATTTTTTGTTTACAAACTCTTACAAAGTCTTACCGGTCAGATATAGTGTAATTTGTAAGTTTGAAAAGAAAGAAAGAATGTTATATTTACAAATTTTTTGTTTACAAAGTCTTACCGGTCACACATAGTTGAATTTGTAAGTTTGTAAAAAAAAAAAGGAGAAGGTTATATTTACAAATTTTTTGCTTACAAACTCTTACCGGTCAGACATAGTGTAATTTGTAAATTTGTAAAAAAAAAGTTTGTCAATATAACCCCTCTCATATATATATATATATATATATATATATATGGGGTAAATATTTTTACAGTCACTTTAGATACAACTACTTTTTATAACTATGTATTATCGGTAATATATAGTTATAACATTAAAGTAATTTTTTTTTATCCTTCATCAGTCACTTTTCAGAACCTGTCTGCTGACGTGGAGAGATAGAGAAAAAAATAACTTTAATGTTATAACTATGTACTACCGGTAGTACATAGTTACAATGGATAGCTGTTGACAATGTTGTGAAAATCGTACCGGACCGGCCGGATTGACCCAGAACTCGGTGAACCGGTCATCACATTGGATCGGTCAAGTATCAGACCCGGTACGACCTGGTGTGACCCAGCCGGTTAACCAGTGACCCGACCCTGGTTTTAAAAAAAAATTATTTCAAAAGAAAAAAGTTTTCCAAAAAAAATCAATCATAATTAACATATTTGAGTGATCTGTTACTTATTGACTTAGTATCTACAATACTAATATTATCTCAGTTATCCACTACGCAGGAAATTTTGATTTGATAGTTAGAGATGTCATTTACCTAATCTGAAACACCAATATAACAAGCATTATGTGTTTGTTTGATCCTTTTTTAGACAATAATATATAATTTATTATTTTTTATATTAAAATATTTAGAATTTATATTATTTTTTCAGCTATTTGAGTATATTTATAATTTTTTAATATAAATTATAGATTTATATATAATCACCGGGTTATGCGGTTGAACAGTGACCCACTGGTTGACCCAGTGACCCGGTACTTCGATCGAGTCGTTGACAGGGCCGGTTTTAATAACATTGGCTGTAGATAACTTTATTTAAAGTGACTGTAGAAATATTTTTTTATATATATGAAGAATGTGATCAGATTAATAATTAAAACTGTATAAAAATCGGTACCAAATTGTTGTTTTTGTGTGGTTCTGACTAAATCAAACGAATTAACCAAAGACAAATGCATGATCTCAGGTCCTAAAAACAGATTTTGATTGGAAGGGAAAATAAATTAGAATAACAACAAAGGGCGTTCAAAGAGCAATCTTTGAAACCACGTGGGTGGGTATGATGGTTCAGCATCTCGTCCCTTAAACAAATGGTTGAGGGTTCGAACCTCAACTCTTGTGAATTGAAAGCATTCCGTGACCAGCTTTTTACCAACTTATCTGGGGCGAGGGATTAGTTTTATAGCTATCGGCTGTGGGGATACCCGGATGTAATAAAAAAAAAAAACAATCTTTGACCTATTGATAAAGCAGGTATAGGATGAGCGATCACACAAATAAGACCCTCCACCATGCATGGCTCTGTGGAACCATATTCTACTAATGCTTCACATCGAAGATTGTAATCTTTGACGATACATGTGTTTCATGCATGACTAATAAATGCTATAAACAAGAAGCCTTGAAATACTAACTAGGGGTTCATTATTAACCGAAACGGACAGTGCCAATGGAAATTGAAAAGTGTTATTCCATGTAACTCAGGTTGGAGATACTCAAATCCAGGACTTAATTAATGGACACTACGATGTGTACCGTCCCACATGTTCAAACAGTGATAGTAGGTCTTCTACCTAACGAAACGAATATCTTTTATCTCTTCAAAAGCAGGGAAAAGAACAGCACCTAGGGGGTTTGGTAGGTGATTTTTAATTGGATAGATGGGAAGTGGTGGTGGGAAACGGAGAATGACTAGTTTGGTAGATGATTAAATGAAATAAAACAGGGTATTATCTTTCTCTATGCAAATATGAAACCAGTGTGTTTTGGTCTGAAAATCACTATTGGAGAAACCCAACTTCAAGGTTGTATTCATAGAAAACTAGGGAAATGATATATTTAGGTGCTAAATTTTTTACGCAATTACCCCTCTCCAGAGAATTCCACCTCCAATTGTTTAATATTAAGGGGTATTTTCAAAATTTTATCATATTTCCCATCAATCTTTTATTTTCAACCAAACATAGTCTCAGTATATTTTACACAATTATCCTGGTAATATTTCGGTCTACCAAACAACACTTTTAAAATTTCTCCACTTATTTTACTTTACAACCATTTTCCCACTATTTATATTTACCTGGTCATAAAAAATTTCTCTTGTACCAAACGCCCCTTAGAGAAAAATTAGAGTTTCGTAAATTTTGTTGTTCTCAACACATGTGGCATAACAAAATTTGATATCTTGTTGTGTAGGTCCACCATCCGTATCTTGAAAATGTTTGGTAAAATCCGAATTCAACTTGGGAATTGAAAAGAGATGCAACATGTTGCCCCCATCAACCATTTAGATTGAATCTTCGACATTTTTCTAGTGCATTTTCATAAACAATACACTGCACATGCAAGACAATGTTCTGATAAATCCCAGTAACGGCTATTATTAGAGCTTGATTGGATGAGTTTTTTTTTCCTCTAAAATCTTATTTTTTTTAATTTTTCAAAAAAGTTTGCTTAGATGTCTGCTCTTAAAGAAAGTAGAAGTCATAAAAAAAGTCAAAAACTTACTTTTTTAGAAACTAAAAATTTTAACTTTTAAAAAAGAAGAAGTTAAAAGCTAAATATTTTTAAAAAAATCTAAATAACTTTTATTTTTATAAAAAATACTTTTAAAAAAAAATGGTATAAATTATTTTTTTTTGAAAAGATAATCCAAACATGCTCTTAATAAGCTAAAGGGAGCTCAAAGTAGGGGAGCCATTCACCCACCATTGGGCTACACAACAATCTGTGATAATTGAATTCCACACATGGTCTTAATCTAAAATCTTAACGGGGCGTTTGGTTGAAATTTTTTATTTGACTCCCCATCTATCTTGAAGTGGCATTTTATGATTGTTTTGTTTGGTAGAAAGATTAAAAAAATTTAGCTATGCTTCTCTTTTCCCCATCCTTCACAAGCATCTGCAAAATCAAAAGCAAATCATGGTAGAACTTTACCATTTAGGATGTGGTGTTCTTAAAAAACTAGCTAAAATGCAAAAAAGTGAATGAAGAGTGTTACCATATTGCCCTCTTCTAAGTACACATGTCTACATCTCTAAAATATCAAAGGTTATTTTTGGTATTTCAATACATTTACCCATCATTATTTCACCTTCAATCAAACAAAGACTCACAAAATTTAACAAAATTTTTGGTTGGTAAAATTTTGACCAACCAAACAATTTTTTTTTAACTTTCCTACCAAACTCACTTTCTAATTATTTTTCTAATAATTATATTTTCCTAGTATATAAAAAAAA